AGAAACGAAAAGGAAACATAAACAAACTAATTTGGGCATTGATGCGATAAATGCAACATGCGTTTTAATTAATTATTGAGAATATCACGGTATATCGAAAAATAATAATCGCTAAATAATTTACTGATTTATAAATGTCCCTTGCGATCAAATTAGTGTCTCCTCCAAATCCTATTTTCGTAGTTTACACATAAACGTCGTAGTAATTCTTACAATAATGGCGAGTGAGACATTTGAAGAAACTTTTCCAAACGTAGGGGGAGATAAAAGGTAAAATGGTCCACCGTAAATTTCGGCGATCGCGTACGCAGTGTCCGCTGAACAAGTGTCGATAATAGGATCCTACAAGTCTTTTTTTTTACCGCGGCCGGTTTAGTACCCACTTATCACGCGAGGTCGTTTCATTTCGAGTGGCTCATTCATCCGATACATAGACATAGGTGGGCGCGCTTTTTGGCCGATGTTATTAGAGATCTTATAATCAAAGTTTGACGAATGTGGACTAAAAATGGCGGATAGAGAGAGATAACAGATATTGCTTTCTCGTATGAACGCATTCGCAAAAAGTGTTAGGATACGTGACAACAATACCTGAAGAAACCAATCAAGTTGATCAATTGACCGAATTGTGTAATTGTAATTTATTAATTTTCTCTTTGTCCGAGATTTCGGAACGATCTATAACTTCTTTGACACAGGTTTTACTCATCTGTTTGTAGCTATCTATCTCTTTCTATTCTTCGCACTCGTTTTCCGACAATATATGAAGCTCCGAAGAATACCGAGTGGACCAAGGTAAAGAACTAATCAGAAGTTGTGCCCGCTTTCACCAAACTCTAGGATTTCTAGATGTTATTATTATAATCAAACCTCATTGTATTGGATGTCGTCGGTAATGATGAGATAATACGTATTATTGTGTCTTTACATTTCTCTTTCTTTCTTTTTTTTCTATCTCATCACTGGTGATGTATATAATAGTCTCTCTTCCATTACCACACGTTTGCGGTAATGGCTTAACGTGCTCACGTAGAACAACGAATTTCCCCGTGATTAAGTTACATTTATGACAATTCTAAATGAAACCATTGAATAATCGATTATATCCAAAATCATATTTCAGCTGATGAATTCCCAATAAATTATGACACACAATTGTCCAAATTTTCCGTAGAAAAATACTAAAGAATATTTGCATCACAAAATCTTTGTACTACACTGAAAAAAAAGATTTTAACACAACCAAAAATTGGCTGCTGCAACCAATTAAAAATGCTATGCCATATTTTACCATCTAATTTGCTGCAGCAGCCAATCTTTTTTTCAGTGTACGCTTTTTCCTATTGTACTTTACTATAAGACAACCGTTGACGATCACAAAGCGATTCAATGTACCTGGAATGTATCTCACAGTCATAGCTATGGAATTTGTGAATATAGGTTTTATAATTTTTTTATTCTTTTATAATTACGTTATATGTCGTCATATTTTATTGTTATTAGAATGATTAGTTAAGTCCGTTTGAATTTTATTGTTTTAACATTGAAAATGACCCGATTGGAATCGAAACATATATGCTAATAAACTGTTTACTTTTTAATAACATAGCATCAAGACCTTGCTTGATTCATAGCCCTATCTTCTATTATTGTAATTTTATAAAGAATATTTTTCTCTTACAGTGTGTACAACGCAACGTTCATACATATTTGCGGCCACTTGTTCAATAAATTAGCGTATGACAAACAATAACTACGATTGGAGCGTGCGACATTAATGTGTCATTCATTATGTAGGAAATTTACCGTTATGCATACACCTGTATACTTGATCAGCACGTTAGTAGAACATTTTTAACTAGATGCGTGTGCAATGTGCTAGACGAGCGTACATATTCATAACTGATGAATAACGTGAATATTCAAGAATATAAAATTGGAATGCTTGCGCTCCACTTACGGCCATGTAAATTTGTCATTCCGTTCATAAATTATGAACTATAACGACACATCAATCGTAGAGTTTGCAATATTGCTGTGGTACATTATCGCAATTACGAAATAGTTACATGTCATGCATCATCAAACTCATTGACAGCCGTTAATTTATGATTCTTTAAATTTATCTGACAAACGCGGTATCAATATCAATCAAATTGACAAAGTCATTGCATATAAATGTGATACGAATTTAAAAGATTTAATTTTAAAAGATCTCCAACAATCATACTACAACACGTTACGACGTTACTGTTTAGATAACATTCATCATCTTCACGGAAAAGAAGAATCTTTTTATTCTAGCCCTTGACAGAAGAAACGATATTTCATCGGCAATTAAATCGCTTTAATAGTAGTAAAGGAAATTTGTTATCGCAACTGGGTACGTCGTAGGAAGTTTGCGACACTTACATCTTAAGTGTAAAGCGTGCGCACTGCAGAAAGTTATTATTAGTTTCACAGGAAAGCGTACTTTCCGGCTTGGAGACGAGCGTAAAATACCGGGAAACAACGTTACGTCGTTTGCAAAGTTAGCATCGTGCGAGCATAGCACATACATAGCACTTCCCCGAACGGAGTGAGAAAATTGTAGAATTTCGATCCATCATTCGTACGTTCCCGTTTCGTTTCTCTCTCGCATTCTCGACTCAGCTCTCGGCCGTACGGTTTCTCGCCGGATGACGAAGGTCTGGCATAGCCATCAGAATTTACCGTCTCGCGGCCGACATTATCCGCGACGAAATACGTCATTTTTCGGAAAGCTAACGCGTATATACGTTTAGCAGAACATTACCCTCGTTGACGCGCGCACGCGCGCGAGTTTGTCCACAAACGTTATTTATTGCTTATTCGCTTCACTTCGCGTACGATAAACAGCACGGTACGAGAGAGCTGTAAAGTGATGCACACACGTTATTGCGTCCAACGTATATCAGTATGCAGTTTGTTCTTTTTCACACAATTGTAAGTGTGAAAAAATTAGAAGACTTGACCATCCGTTTCCGATAGAACAACTTCCTTTGTCTATTTATCGGCGCACTTAATTTCTGCAGTAATTACCTTATCGACGTCCGTTTCGCTCCCGTTCGATTAAAAAAAGGAAAACGAGGAAAAAGGCGAGAATACGCAGAAGTTAGCCCTTAGTACGTTTTCACGGTGCGAATCGACGATATTTTCACGTAACCAACCAATTACGTAAATGAAGCCCACTCTTACTACGACGACATTGCTCATTTCTCACTTTACGTAATTACAGTTAGTGCACAAACGTGCCGATCGAAATTTACCGATATCTCTTTCAAAACATTTCAATCTTCCTCTTCTGACCATTAATTCATCCCTTGACGATCTCAATACTGAAGTGCTTCAGAGAAACTCCTTGTTAGGTATTACTCGGATATATCTTATATAATATTATAAAAGATGTAATGTTAATTTAGCAATCAATTTTTTTCAACGATAACGCAACAAATATATTAACAAACTACTTTACATGTATAACACTTGGCGAATACAAACAGACAAATATATTGGACATAGATTTTACGATGGTTATTTTAAAGTAATCCCCTAAACATTATGTAGCGGAGAGTCGAAAGACAAGATAGGATCGGCCTTCATAACTTCGGTGTCTCACAGGTTGGCTCCCATTCGAGCCTCAAGTACCCTTATGACTTCGTTGTGTTGGTAAAGGTTCTCATTGTCACGCATTCCTACGTATGCCGCAGCTGTTGTTGTTCACCCGTATTAAGAGATAGATTTACATGAGTAAACATGTTAAGGTCTTGAGTCCCACGTACAAATTGAAATTAGAATCAAGTCTGGGAGTATCTGAATAATCTGAATGCATTAAATGTTAAAGGACCATATAAGCATACTAGTATATATACGTATCAAAAGCGATTCCAATACAAAGTTTTAATTTTTATAAAAATTATAACTTAGAAAAAAAGAGAGAGACTTGATTATTGAATTTAATTACAAAATATTATATATAAAGACTTCTAACGTATCTTTTAGTTATTATACATTATTACATAAATTGGCTGCTGCAGCCAATTAAAAATGCTATGCCATATTTTATCATCTAATTTGCTGCAACAAACAATCTTTTTTTTTCAGTGTATAAAATTATATAATAAAAATATGAATTAGGGAATCACACGATGTTATTAAATTGCTGCATATGTCATCAAAAGATTGGATAAGTTGTAAATTCAAAGTTACACGAAAAAATGAGCGGAAATCACATCTCATCAACGGAAGCTGTTTGTCAACTGAATGTATGGTGATATTTAGGACATTAGATAAGCACCTCATTTTCATGAAGAAGCCATAAAATTCAGAGTCCGTTGAGCTTTCGCCATCATCCTAACATACGGGTGATGATTCTACAAGCGCAAGTACTCGCAAAGTTTATACGCCGCTACGTTACGAAGAAGTTATGTGTCGAGGACTCTGGGGAAAATCATATTTCTACACGTATTCGCCGACATTTATGTTGAAGACATCAAAATAATCCTTTTAAACAACGACAGGAACCGTATACCCTCGAGGCTGATGTTACCCTTATTCTTTCAGACTTCATAAAAGTATGTTACGTCTAAAGTAAAATTTTATTTTACATCGAGGTATCCTGTTTCCTAGACTGTGCGTCACGTTTCCCAGATTACATTTCACTCGTTCGAAAAGTCGTGGATGCAATAATTGTTCTATTTTTTTTTTTTTTTTACGAAACTAACAGATCTAATAAATTTATCATAATATAGTACAAGCTGTATTACTTATCGGTGCAGACATCCTTGCATTTTTTTCACTTTTAACCGAGATAATGTTTGTCATCTTTAAGATAAAATCTCGATTTTTTGTGGTACTTCAGCTCATACAAATTTATTCCGCAAAATTTATCTTTTGCGGAGAGAGTGCCATGGGACATGGCGAGGCAATTATTGATTAAGAAAGGTGATAAATCGCGTGCACAGCATGCAATGTATACTTACTAGTAGCGCTGACAGCTGGTCCGATGACTGAGTACTTGGGGTTCCCCGTAACGGCTCCTGGGACCTTGTCCGGCTCTGAAACACATTATTGTAATTATCTCCAGAATATACAGTGCCGTTAATTACAACAGGGAGTCGCGTATGCAATGGACCGCAGCCAATCTACCTAGTACAAAGGATCTATCCGTATGATTCATCGTCTTGTAAATACATTAGATTGTATTCTTGTTGAGAATGAGAACAGTAGCGCTTAACTCTTAGATTTTGTCAAAATATTGATCGAACGTCGGTATTAATGTTAAATTTGCTAAATGCTCATTGATATAATGAGCAAAGGTATTATTAACAATAATGCGTTGTAAAAATATAATATAATATTGTTGAAACTCAGTTATCATATGAAAATTAGTATTATATATTTATTTATCATTTTATACATATTGGATATCTATTAACGGCAATGTCGAAAAATATAATAATAACAATAGGTAAGATCAAAAAAGTTCAGATATGTCTGAAAAATTTGGATGGTTTGACCAATTACCAAGTAAGCAAAGAAGATTCCACATTTCCAGAGTAATATAAGCTTTCTCTCTAGATGTTACAGTTTGTTGGAAAGCTGCACGATCTTCCTTGCCGACCGTGAAAAGCTTCAGCGTTACCAGAAAGCTTCGCAAAAGCTCTGTTTCATGGCGCTTTCATACATGCTTTAACATAGCGACGCATTATGTTGAGCTTTTGAACTTCAAACTACAATACCGACCGACAATACTTTATCATATATGTATACTTTGATAATTTAACATTATCAACTAAATTTTTAATAATATATAACTTCTTTTTGACTGTAATTATTTTTTCAATCAAAATTTATTTATGTCTATCAAGAATGTAAGAGTATGCTTTAATGAAGGTACAAGTTATATGAAAATCTTTGTCTTTATGAAACAAGAATTTTCGTAATAATACGATATTGAATAATCAGAAGAAATTTATAAAAAGAAGAAAGATTCGATTATTGCGAATTTTTTAATTTTCATAGGAACGATAAATTGCTGTCTCATGTCAGTGAAAAAGATAAATAAACTCAATTCAAACACATATAGCAAAATCTAAAAGATATTTCTACAATTATTTCCCAGAATGCGATATAAGGCAATGGATAATTTAATGGCTCGTCCCATGACTTTAGGGACTCACCTGAGTGGAAACTTTATCAATGGCGGTCTTACACATCGTAGGAGATGAGACGGTACCGAAGAAAGAGGAGTATGACCGTAGCGGGATCGAAGGATGGTCAGAAGGGTGGATTTTCGTGATGTCGACAAGCAATCGTCGTTCGTTACTGACCAGGATGCAGCGCATCGTCCAATGGCTGGAATTGGAACATCGCCTTGAAACCCTGGCCCGGCCATTCAGAATTAGCTACGAACTCAACATAGAGACCTGGTCCTGTGCTGAGTACCTCCACTTCCGTTCCCTGGTTGCAGAGCACGGCTATTGTAGGCGCCCCTGAATCCGTTCCGTCGTGCACCTTGATTAAATCCGCTCTATTCAGACAACTGTAACAGGACAAGCACATCGCTTTTCGTTAGAAGCAACTTATCGATACATTACCTTTAAATTAATCCGCTCTAAAAAATTAATTGATACTAATACTGTTAAAAAGTATAGAAATAAAGAAATCTATTGATAAAATCCATGTTAGCATAATTTTGCTATTTTAATGTTGTCCCCTAAATCAAAGTTGTCAAAGCGTCTTACTTTATAGAAATTTACCTCCATAAAAATGTAAATTGCGAAATGGGATGCGCAAATAAAGAGAGAGTCCTTGAGATTCTCGGCAACGAAGGTATGTTAAGTCCGCTTTGAGTTCTGCGGCTCCTCTAGATAGCACGCACTAGAGGGAACGGGATCGAAAGGGAAGACAAAAGAGATGAGAGGTAGAACGAAGCGAGACAGTTCAATGGGGGTTGAAGGTGAAACTGTAAAGAGTGTACAGTGACAAAGGATGGCATCGTCGACAAGACGAGCTGTGGGCGCCAAGCCAAGGAGAGAGTCTCGACGATCGACGATTCGTTCCATACGTGTACGCGAACTACTCAACTCGATCGAACCGAAGAGGAGTATTACATCTTCGATGCCTTCAGCCTTAGGATTCGTGCACTACATCGACGGGATCGCTGATTCGATCGATTTAAAGGCTTGATCGATGACGGCAGACGGGATAACCTTATTACTTGCACGGGTTAAGCAATTACGTTGACAGAGAAAGATTATCGTTGGAAGAACCAGAGATTAAAGAGCCACCCCTGTCCCGCCTGTTCGTTCCGCTTCCTTACCTCTGAACCTACACGTGCGATTTTTGACCTCACTTACACGTGCACGATAACGTCGTTCTTTACTGATGTAGTGCAGTAAGATATCGTGTATCTATGGCGAATCTCAACAGAAACATAAAATTATTTTCAATTTCAATCGCCAACTTTGGATGAGCATTATAATGAATAGACGCAAATCTCAAATCTGTTTAAAACAATCAAATTGAAAAGTTTAACTATGAAGTTAGTGGTGCGTGAGTGAGCTCAATGCGAAGGCAAGCAAATCCGTCTATCAAAGTTAATCTAGCGTAGCATCGCGCGCCCGGAGTGTGTACACGGAATTCTTCAAGTGCCCAACAAGATTTACTTCGGGCTATCACCGACTCCATTTTGCTCTCGTCGATTTTATTCGTATTCCGTTTACTATGTCTCAGTGGCTATTCCATGAATATCGTTAAAGTAGCGTTTACCTTTGGAAACTTGAATTCAAGCGTGAAAGCACGTTGAAGTATCGAATGACGGTACAAAGAACCGCTCTACATCTTCCTTTCCTTTTTATTAAACTTTTCACAAGTTAACGTATATAGTAAAGGATTATTCATTACTTATATCCATAGAAAGGGATTATTGATACTGTCGATATTATATCGATAGTTCCCTCAGCTATAACTTTATATGAGCGAGTGACGTATATGCGTGTTATAAGCGTGCACTCGGATAGAGTAGTAGAAGTGTATCGAGTGCTGGATGGAGGAGTCTCTCGGTATCCATCAGCACCATTCACGATAATATCCGAGTGCATCTGACGGAGCGGCTTAACGTTGATATATGGAGGCATTTCTCAGCTTTTACCCGAGCTCTTACAGATTTTTACCACCAGTCTTGGAGAAAGTGCCATCGGCCACGATATAAATTAACGCAATCGATCGTAGATTTGTAGACCGTATTTCGCGTATCGCCTTTTAATTCAACAGATCTTTCTTTTTTTCGCGCTATGTTTAATCGAGAATACTGCAATATTCAAGTTAACATATTTATCAATTTCCTTTCCTAAATCAACACTTTTTTAATGGTAAAAAGCACGATTCAACTGATCATTTTGCAAATATAAAATAAAATTTCTTTTTTTAATTATTATCACGTTATTGATTTCATTTAGGTACTAAAAAATAATTAGCGTTGTGTAAAATTTTTATAATCGAAGATTAAACGAAAATTCCGTTACAATCATATGATGTTTCATGAAAGTGTAAATAATAAATAATTATATGAGAGTCGATGTTATTTGGTCAGATTCAGATATTCTCTTCTGATTTCACGTTACATTGAAAGCATTCATCCGCTGTAACCACTTCGTCAGCGTAGAGTTAATATTGGATCTATTTATCTCGTTATACAAATACTGTTGGATTCATTGGCATTCATATGAATATATCCAATTAATTTTTATATTACATTAAAGAATAGCAGATGTTATTGTACAAATATTATTAGACAGTATATTGTATTATAAGTATATTCTTAATATAAATACGTTTTTATTACAGATATATAAAATTGGATGCGTAAATTATTGCAAAGTTATCCCAATATTTTCAGAAATAAATTATACCGCGCTACGCGTAAATTAATTATTTAAAAATTGCAAATTCTGTCATAAAAATAAGTTTTTGCCGCATTGGCGGCAAATTGCTCGTGAATCACTATGTTACTGGACCTCGATAGAACGTGCGAAACAGAATATAGAGTGAAGTTTAAATGAGATTTGTGTGATGCCAGTTTCAGGCTCACAAAATAAAACTATCGCTAAATAAAGTACAAAGCTTAAAAATTTAGGCAGTAATATGCGTCTGAAAAAATATACATAATTCTTTCAAATATTTAAATAACTTTTAATATTAATTTCTTTGCTTATCGTATATACAGCGTGAATATAACATCTAGTGAATATAATTCAATTATAATATTTATATATAGCATATAAAAAAATAAAATTATTTTAAACATTTCGCATAAACATGAAAGCTAGTTATTTTCAAGTTGATATTTTCTTTCTATTTTCTACTTTGTTGCTTTTATACTGAGATTTATGTAATAGTATAATGCGATTTGAAAATTGCTTATTATTCATATCTCGTTGCACTCGCTGTGTAAATTATATTTGCTTTCGTATTATTTGAGCGCCAACCTTATTGTATAAAATTTTCTCAATTTTCTCAAATTTCATCACCGCGTCACATTTTTTATATTCATGAGATATATCTAGTATTTTAAAATTATTTTTCAAAATTGTATTTAAATTAAATTTTCTTCTATAAGTTATTTTAAAATGATCGTTTAATCCTGCTAAAAAGTTATTGTTTCATAACAAAATCAAGTAAAAATTTCTAGATCTTTGACAGTATTTATTTCAGTATTTTTTTGCACAGTTTTCAATCGCAAACTCATCGATTCTGATTTCCGAGTTCAAAGTTAAAAGGTCACTAACGGAATGAAATTAAGGGAGCTCAATACCGAATTAGGACAGAGTTCGAGGATTTATCAAGGATTAACTCCTGCACGCTGCAACTGCAAGTCCCTAGGCACCTCTCGTTTCTCCAAGTCGACCTCCCAATCACCATTCTCAGCTCTAAGTCTTCGCGCAGAGAGGAACTTTATGTGGGTTAAGTAGAATCGTGGTCCACGCCGTATTCAAAGGATTTAGAGGTCAGGTGTAACTGGCACACACTACAGGATTTAAAAAGAGAATTTCCGTAAAAATATGCTATCGCTGTCAAGTCGAGATCGTATTGCGGCGAAGTTAATTACAACGAGCGGTGAAATTCGTGCGTTAAATTCGTATAGTTGGATTTAAATCTTTAACAAAGACCGATAGAAGCGTAGTTCGATAGAATATGTCGTAAATATCTTGATAATAACTCTTGATAATAACTCTTGTAGGTTGAATATAAAGTTTATCATATAAACAGAGAAAGGCATTGTTTGAAATAAATACATTTAAAATAAAAGTACACAATGTAAAATGCCTATTTTGTATTTTGTATTTAAAATACATTTTTTTAGAAACTATTTTACATTTCCATTTAAATGGTTTTTACTACTTATTTTCTATTTAAAATACACACATTTATAGGTTGGCAATAGTTCTAGCAGACTAGCGTGATTAACGTCGCACGCGATGTGCGATATATATATATATATATATATAACCAACAAGTATACTGCTTTTTTAAACAATCTATGCGCTCATTGGTGGATATCTCCCATCGTGCGGTAACTGTTAGGGTCATAAGAATGAGCCCATGTCTGAATTAATATCATGGTTGCGTTATTAATATCATGCGTTGATTGATGTCAGCTTTATACTTCTTTTAGAGACACTATAATCAGTAATTATAAGATCTTATAAAAGGAAAATGACTGATTTCGTCTTCGAAAAATTTGTTCTTTAAGGCATCACGTTTAACTGCTAGATAATCTTTTTTTGTAAAAGTTTATATTATATAAAAATTTATAGAAAGTAAAAAATATTAAGAATAAGAAGTAATAATTTAAATATGAAATAAACATTCAAAAATAAATAATATAAAAATATTTAAAATATTTAAAAAATAATTTTATTTTAAAACTATATTTTTTTATTTTAAAAGACTATTTTAAAAAAATGCTCATTTTCTATTTCAAATGGATACCTAAAAAGCCTTTTGTATTTTATATATTTTCAAATGGAAAAATTACAACTATTTTGCATAAAAATATGAAAAACGCGAGAGAGAGAGAGAGAGAGAGATTTTGAAATGTAGCTCAGGAAAAATATATAAGACTTGCTCGAAAAAATGTTCTAATCTTCAGTGCGTGCATATGAAGTCCAAGTTTGTCATATTCTCAATGGTACTAACAGGGGAACAGACAGGCGGATCTATGGCAGCTAGCTTGAAAGGGTTGGTAGTCAAGCTCGCAGTATTACTGCCTGGCAGATTTATGTCAGTAATATCTGAAGCATTAGCAGTTTGACATATTGGCGATCGTAAAATTTGGAGTCGCGCGCAGGAAGAGGCTATCTCTCATTCATAGACTGATAATACATCAGATCCCTTCGGGTCGGCGAGCGCGAATATGTATCTGGTCTCCCGCTGATTTGCATGCCGTAAGTACACGGAACATCAGCCTCGCATACCTTAAGTACTCAGGAACAGTACCGATCGTGGAAGACCAACTCGCGAACGTTCTTCATATAACATAACGAGATATATCTGACCACGATTATTCTCGGCACGCGCATGAAACGCTCATAAAACGTAGGAAGTTCAATACGTACAGCACTGTTCAAATTACAGCAAACTCGTCCGTCGATCGATCGTTCACTCGCTCGTATTCATTGGTCAACGCGAAAAACATGACTACCCAAACAAGCTCTTCACTGAATATTACCATTTCATTGAAATTTTAAATTAATCTAGATATCTGTTTAAATATATGGTTCCTTTTTATTCACACATGTGATATTTTTTTGGTATACTTTTAATACACGGAAACAATAAATTTTTAATCAATAATATAAGAGAAAAGACTTATGTATGAAAAAATTAATTAATACAAGCTCGTTTAAATAATAATATTGAAAATGATTTATATTTAAAAAGAAGATTTTTTATGTTTTGAAATTTATTTCAAATGTTGCAAATTTTATATTTTCAACTTGTGAAATCGATGTTCATGGTATTACATGATAATTACACGTAAGTTAGTTCTTATCAATGGCTTTAATCGTTCTGATCGTTGCCTACCTTGCTTTAAACATATGAGTGATACTATTCATGTTCTACAATCCTACTTCAAAGAGTATAAGCACAGAAAATTGGAAAGAGACAAAGAAAAAAAGAAGAGGAGTATCCTAAAGAATAAGAAAAAACATCAAAAGACACGAATCTTTGAAACTATTACAGAGCTTTTCGCGTGTCGTCTCTCGGCAGTGGCGACATCGCTTACGACGCCCACAGTCGTTACTGCACCTCGGCAAACATTCAAACGAGTCCGTTTGATTAGTTTAATGGTTCGTTTGGCTTTACTCTTCCCTAAGTGTCGACTCTCTATCTCGCACTATCTCAAGCCAAATGTTTTACCTAGCTGGCCGAGCCAATCGACGTCAATTATCTATTCGTGTCGTCATCCAGTCGATAACATCCCTAGATAGCGCAGAGTAACTTTTACGATTGCTGTGAGTGCAGAGACATTTTAACGGAATTAAATCAGGACAATTTGAAGGATTTGATTTTCCGTAAGTTGCAGATATCCGTAGAGAGAACAATAGATCAGATAACGCTCACATATTCGTTGGTTTATTATAAATGTCAATTACGGAATTAGATTTAAAGGTGGTAAATATATCAAGAGAGAATAGACGACTTTATCGTTCGCGTAAATCTTTCTCTCCATTGCGTGCTTAATCCATCTGCTAGCTATTACTGGCGTACCGACTGACGTACACTGTTCGAGCTGTATCAAATACACGAGGCTGTATCGGGAAAGAAAGTTTTAAATAGAAAAGTTTCATGCTCTCGTAATTCTGATATTCGTTACTGCGTCTCGTTAACTCTTAAACGTTAATAAGTAACAGGTCGTAATTCACAATTAGCGTAACGGAGATTCGCTTGGACGAATCTTTAAAATTTATCACATATTCCAGAAAACAATACATACAAAAGTTCCATGGTCCGTAATAAGAAAAGTACCTTGTACTTAAGTCTTAAGTTGTTAAGAATGACACAATGGCGACATGCAGATTCTCTTACTAGTATAGATAATTAATAGAAAGACATTTGCTTCACAATACTTCCAGTTTCAATCTTAATAGACTCTAATAAATACTTCTTATGTTAAAATTTAAGGAAACTCTGTTTTGTAAATTTTAATTTTAAATAAAAAATTGATCATATTCGTCTCGCTTCTGACAAAATTAATATTAATTTATAATTTAGTAATAAAATAATTAATTTTAAATAAACTATATCCGCAATATTTTGTCATAATGAGATATTTTGAGTTTTGTTCAATATTAAGGAAATAAAATCGCAATTAACGCTCGTAAAACCAATGGAATTTGTTGCCAAAGCTATAAAAATGTGTTCGTCTTCAGCAGTAACGATTGAATACTCTCGTAATTTCAACTTGAGCCATTTTTTTCTTAAACTACGCGAACGGATGTAGCGCCTTTGGCGATCGTGTACGTGTGTACACATATAAGTGTGCACGACGCGTCTTAAAGTTTTTAACAGCCCCGCGGCTTTCATTACGTGTCTCGTTCGAGCTGTAGAGTTATTGATCCTAAAAGTGCAATGGAAATTAAGAGGGACTTTGAAACTGCTGAAATATCCTAAATACGTGTAAAAAGCATGACAAAATGCTCGATATTCTTTCAAAAATCTAACGTAACGTAACATCATTAAAATTAATATAAAATAGACAAAAACTCAATTAAAAGCAAATTCTTGAAACATGCTTTAATCCGTGAAATAAAAACCAATATGTACGAAGTGTCCAAACCAATGTCCAAACTATACTTATCACATGAATGGAAAGCTCCACTATTCAGACATGTCTCCACGTCCGCGTACTCTATTATGTCCACCCGGACATCTCTCTTGCGATTTCGGTTACACGCTGTTTTCAACACGCCGCAACAATTTTAAAGTTTTAAATCGACAGGTCGCGCCATCCTACCAGCCGACGGGGCTTAATGGCGCATCTTTTACATAAACGAGGCAGCCTGGTCATACTTGGTGAATTCACGACTTTGATCCCTCCCGCTAAATCTCCTCAGCTTTTTCTCTTTCACAACTTGCGGAACTCAATTTCTATCCAGGATATGCGAAGAACGTACGGCAAACTTTTTCCCACGGATGCACCGAACGTTGCTCCTGCAAATCTATCAACTTCGGGATACGCCGGAAGGAAAAATTTGTAAACCATTTATGACGGGAAGAAATTTTAAAACGGCTTGGAAAATGCCTCAAACAGTTAATACAATCTCTAATTTATTGCTTCTCAATTTATTTGTACAATAATTTTTCATTATTGTTTGTCATTACTTCTCATTTGATACAATAACGCGTATTTCAGATTTTTCAAATTAGAAAATAAAAAATAACGATATAATACTCACCTCAGATCTCCTTTCTGCAGAGAAATCTCTTCAAAGACTAAACGGATTCTCTCCTTCAGCCTGAAATACGATTAACTAAGTTACTCTGCGTGCGTTTTCCTAGATAGACACATTATAACGCCACTTGCTACTGTATAAAGGCCATTGTAAACGCTACATAACTCGCAATATTAAAGCTTGCATTTTTATGAATACGGAAATATTATTATATGCATTTTTCGTCCGAGCGGTACTGCACGGACGGTACACGCGCGCGGTTTATCTTGTTCCCCGCGGTACTAATGAAACAAGATGGGCGAGAGCTGTAATTAATTTCATTATAAGCGCACCTAGCGCATGAATTTGTTAAAACGACGTCGACGCCGGCGACGAAAACGGCGTCAGCAGCGGCTGTGAACAATGTGACGGGAATCTTTTTATACAAAAAGATTAATAACTAAATGTCAAAAAGTATCTTTATATCTAAAAACACTATAAAAAAATTTATATCGTTGAAAAGCAAAGCCAAAATATCTTCTTTTCATTATTTTTTTCTTTCTCAATAATGATCATTAGAGGATTGATTTATAACGATGTCGACGTGACAAAGGCCGTCGAGCCATCGAGAACACTGTAGTATGTTAATATAGACCGAGTGTCACGAATGTCTAACGGATAGACTGCATGCGTGTATACCTGTACATGTATACGTATCCGGTGGCTTTATAGCGGTCGGCATAGCGGCCGGCGCGACGTTGCGTTGACATAACTGTTAGACATATAGGGCTGCACACGCTACTTTGATACAATTACTGTAATTAAGCAGCAACCCACAATACTACGGAAATCATATCTGCGCATACTGGCCCAGCGCCGCGATTAAATTCATCACGATTGAACGACGTTCTGATTCGACTCCGTTAACTATTTCCTTTGATCGTTGTACATATATCAGACATCCACGGAAGTCAATGAACCGTGTAACAATACGTAACGTGAACTATGACGTTTATACAATAGAAACGCAGAACTAGAAATTCTATAAATAAAAGATAAATAAGTAAACTTATAATATTATATACAGAATATACTCTCTGAAACAAATTAAGAGAGAAAATACTTTTTTACGCGTATCCTGTTAAATTAATATTACCGCTTGTTATCGTTTTGTCGGTTAACATTAGGTTGCGTGGATTATACTTTCATACGCAAATCGCGGAGAAGTCTAGTCTCATTGTCAGTGTTGTTTCGTGAGAATAGCATCCTGCGAGGAATCATGCCAAGAACTTGCTGATTTTTCCCCCGCTAGTTGGTCGCGAGTAATTTTTATACCGCTGCACTACGAAACGGCTTGCGACAGAACGGACGTAAACTTTTGGCTGCTACGTAACAAGGAACCAAGATGAGGAACGACGAAAGTTGAGATGGGTAGAAAGCCAGAAAATTTTCGATGATGGGAGAAATGCGGTAATATCAAAATTCAACATGACCCAATAATCCAAAACCATAGCGAGTTTCACAATTAATGATTTACGCGAAATTACTTTAATAATTGGCCACTGTGACACACTTTTTAGCGTAACATATTTATGGACAGAAATCATTAAACAATCGTGCGATCCAGTTAATGTTGATCATTTAGAATGATTGTGTTTTCTCTTGATATTCTTCTCGATCGCGTTTCGTATTCCAAGGAGCACGCCCCTTCCGATTCGAATCTCGTCGCGCAAATAATAACAAGACGAGTGCGTGCGATAGACTGTTACGATACGTTCGGGCCATGGCTGCGTCGATGTAAACAATGAGCAGGTATGGCGTGCCGTGCTGCCGTTATCACCACCAAGTTCAACGGGTACACGAACGAATTATTCCATGTGTGTGTGTGTTTTTGACTTTTTGAATAAACGATCTTTCGCATAACATGCGGTTTGCTTTTAAAATGTGTCAACATGTTATAGTTAGCCCTTAATACACACCTTTGAGTCATTCGTGTCCTGCGCATTTCTTTTCTTTGAAATACTAAGAACAATACTAAGAGCTGGTTAAATACTGGTCTCTTTTCTATTCGTAAAAAAAGTTTGACATCTAGAAAAAAAGTTTTGCGCATTGCCGGCCTCAATTCATATGTATCCTTTAACTAAAATAACTCTGAAGTTCATCTCTGGGTGGCAAATAATCAAGGTTGGGAAGTAACTAGTTACTTGTAACTATTGTAAGTTACAGTTACTTTTTTTCAGTAACTTAACTTAATCCCTTTTTTCCATCTATGACTGTAACTTAACTTAATAATTTCTTCTAATAACTAGTAACTAATTTAACAGTTACTTTTACAGTTACTTTACATTTTAAATTTATTTTTCAATTTAACGTGATTGATTAAAATCTGAATACTGATTAAGCTACGGTCCATTTGATGCTACAAATGCTTCGAAGCATTTGTAGCGCTAAGGGTGCGTTCCACTTAAATCCGCAACGCTTGCGTGTATTATTTTATTGTTTAATATCTGTAACAAGGATAAAATGATATGAGCGTTGTAGACGTAACTGGAACACATCCTGTGTTTTGGAATGCAGCCCAGAGAGAGTATTTTATTATTTCGTTCGTTATTTGAATTATCTCGCGTATATTCCCGCGAAATTAAAGGAATTTTTAAATAAAATTGTATTGTAAACGTAAATTATTTTTTTCTTTGATAGCCCTAATAACTTTTCAATTATTTTTCTGTTATCATGACAGAACAATATGAGTGACATCGATATCATTAGGGCTATCAAAGAAAAAAATAACTTACGTTTATAATACAATTTTATTTAAAAATTCCTTTAATTTCGCGGGAATATACGCGAGATAGTTACTTTTTTAGTAACTGTAATTGTAACGAGTTAATTTTTAGTCTCGATAACTTGGAACTGTATAACTAGTTATTTTTGAAAGAAAAAACTGTAATTGTAACTAATTATTTTTACAAAGTACCTTTTCCAATCCTGCAAATGACCCATCGCGTGTACTGAATGTACATTTTTTGTAACTAAAAAAATTTTTATTTTTTTCTTTATTTTCAATTAATTCTCATTCATATTGCGGGAATATTTCGCAAATTATTAAAAAAAGAATTTAATCCTAGCCCTTAATAAACATATTGGTTTTTGACACCCTTGTATTAAATGTCTGTAATATTATATATTATGTTATCTAATGTTATAAAAATCTTTTCCTAATAAATTATAAGTTTTTTTAATACAATAGCAATAATAAGATGCTTAAAATGTAAATACAATATATCTTCAATTTATAGCCATTGCATATCAAAAACACATTTTCAAGTTATATTAAATAACTAAATTTTTTGGACAGTCGATACTTGAACTATTTTTTTTCTTTTGTAATTTGAAATGTTAACTTTAAGATATTGAAACATATTTTTCTTTTAAATATTTTTGTTTCAGTTTTACATTTTTGTATGAAAAAGTGTATTTTTCTCATTTTGTTAACTATATTTAGTTATGACAATTTATATACAACTTGTTATAAATATACAATTTTATAAATACTTTCTAAAGATGACAAAATTTACGTAAAAATTGCTTAATAATTTTTATTTGAAAAAGTGATGAAAATTAATCCAGTACAAGAAAGACTCATCGTGTGTAGTAAACCAAAAATTAAGGTGTGTACTGAGGATTAATTTAATTCTTTTCTGCAGAATAATTAGAACAATCATATTAAAAATCACATTATAATCTAATTTAAAAAAATATGTAGGTATATATACAACGTGTATTTATTTAATTTTTAGTTCACTCGTTTAACAATACCTAATTATATCTTAATACTTTTATGTATAGAATAATGAGATGAATCAATTAATGTAAAAAAACTTACCTTTTTAACTATACCAACGCATTTGAAAAGCGAAACTTTTCAGTTTAAAGCGTATTATACGAGAGATTATTTATTCAAAATAAAAAGCTAAAGACAGTAATTCGTTCGTATTTGAATTGAATTTGGTGATAACGTATACGGCAGCCGCGACGCGACATTTACCGTTCATTGTTTACATCGGCGCGGCCTTTAGAACGTACCGTAACTGCCTATATATTGTACACACGCATTCGTCTTGTTATCATTCGCGCGAGATTCGAATCGGAAGGAGCGTGCTGTGTGTGTCGTAGCATTATTTTCTTACGAGACGTGGTCGAGAAAAGTATCAAGGGAAACGCAATCATTCTAAGATTCTAAATGATTAACATTAGCCGGATTGCACGATTATTTAATGTAATTTCCGTCCATAAATATGTCACGCGATAAAAAGCGATACAGTAGTCTGTGGCCAATCATTAATCAATCATTTGCTCTTTCTCACGATAAAGTGGCAAGTGGACTACACTGTGTCGCCTCTTAGGTTGTTCGAAAACTACTTGAATGTCCTAATGCGTCATTCTATCTTTAAAACAAGGATAAAATAATACTCGGGCACTCGGGTAAAATCTCTAAACGCGCGCAGTCTAATTACTGTGCGTAAGGTAAATGTCTCAGTAGCCGGACGTTTAAGCGTCAGGTTCTCATAAATAATACAATTTATAATATCAAAAAGGTTTTTAATATAAATATTTGTATTCATTAAAAACTCAAGACTCCCTTAAGCAAGGAAAAATTATTTGAATCCACTTATAATAATTATTAATTAAAATATTTAAATAAATATTAGAATGCGTCAATGTTATACCAGTGGTCGGACAAGCCAGTCGGACATTGAGATATAATTGTCCCAGTGTCCGACCACAATTAGAAAATTAATATGCTGACGGAAAATAATATAAATATATATTTAATGACAAAAGACAACTCTAATTCAAATTGATCTTTAAGGTAAAAAAAGCATTTGAGATTAATATTAATATAAATAAATAAAGTTTTGTGTAACCGGACATAGGTACTGTCTCAGTGACTGGACATGTACTTATGTCCGGATATAATCTATGGCCATTTACATAACACTATTTATTTAAGTTAATATTAGTCTCAAATACACGCTTTTTAAAACGTAATATTATAATTTAATTGTAATCTTTATGCAATTAAATTATAATACTGTAATAAAAAAAGCATTTGAGATTAATAATAATAAATTTGGTGTAAGTGTCCGAACATAGGTACATGGGACGTTTACCTTAATCCGTAGCTATATTCAGTAAACAGACCTCACTGTCGACGATTCGCAAGCGCATTGAGATTCATTCGAGGTCCCAAAGCTATTAATTCTTACCAAAGCAGTTATTTCGCACGATATTACTTGTCTGAGAGCGAAACAGTAGGAGATGGCAATTGATGACAATTTTCATATCACATTTGAGATTTTTGTGTCGATTTAAATAAATTACTTTGCGCGATATAAATAGGATTGTTATCGGATTTGAATAATACGCGAACCGATAAATGGAACAATTTGAAAATAACAAGAAAGCACGGCAACTGATAATGATAATGTAGTTTACGATTTATTTGAGATTTGTGTGTTCTAAATACGAGTCTAAATACGAGTCTAAATACGTGCGATGCCGAATTTTGATCGTATACTCTCGAACGGACTTAACCAACGTGGCGCTGCGTCACACGTTCTGAATGTGCGTGAAGTTAGCAATGTTCGGAGTGAAGTTGCCGTGAGACGCTATTTTCACTATTCGTCAGCCATTATTGGAACGTTACGTGATGCAAAAAATGTCGTGTCCGAATCAAGCAGCGTCGTGACTGTCGTGAGTAGAGTCGCGATCAATAAATTGGTCGTGGTTGACCTCGCATTTCAATTTTGTCAACCGTGCAACGTAAGTTTCGTTACATCAGGGTTTCGTTAAAGCTTACTACCGCTAGTCCTCGAAATGTCGCAACGCGTCGATGTGTCGTGTTGCTCGATAAATACAGCGAAGCGAATCGCAGCGAATCGTTCTATCGTTTCTTCGTTTTTTTCCTTTTCCCTCGTTCACTTCCGTCGCGATCTGATCAATACGACATGTGTCATTAATATCGGGAGTGCCGTACCAAGTAATCGCGATCGTCTTATTCTGATAATTAGCGTAAGTGTTAATTATTGAGTTTCCGCGAGTGTGGGAATCTGAGAGGAGGAAGAGACCTGGGAGAGGCCTCGGGGGATAGTAGAGCAACCATGAGGTGAATGTTTCACTAATTAATGTGGATGTGTGTATGTGTACTATCAGAAAAAGAATCCTTAATTTTTGTTTAATTTCCGATCACTCGTTGAGATGATTTATGTAAAAATAAAAAATTTTCGAATTCTTTTCCGGACTATATAAACGCGCAATTAAACTACTGTAGTAAACTCTCGAATTAAATTGACAAATAATTTTAATAATTTTGATGCTCAATCAGGCATCATATTATAAAGATATTAATATGCTGAAAAACCGTAATTAAATTTCACGAAATTATCACGAAAAATATTACCTCATATTTGAAAAACTGAACTTAATTTCTTCTCTGAAATTATATGTATAACTATATATATAATTATTTTATGAAATGTTGCCTTGAAATGCAAATAAAAAATTCAATTCGTATAATAATTATTTTTCAGATATACATAGTTATTAGCGCAAGTGTTAATTACCCAGTTTTCGCGAGTATGTGGTTTCGAGGAAATCTGAGAGGAGGAAGAGGCCTGGGGAGGTATCGGGCAACGGCAAAGCCACCAAGTGAGATAAGTATCTCACTCTTATACGTTATTTGTGTATATTACTTGTAGAGAAAAAAATTCTTAATTCACGTGTAATTTTTAATTACCTACTGGGATAATTTATATTAAAAATAAAAAAATTTCGCTTTTAAAATTTTTTAATTTACTTAAAAAAATGAATGTGAATTTTTTTTAGAGAAGTTATATAATTATTTCATGAAACGGTTGCTTCAAAGCCAAATGAACTTTTTAGATATTAATTATTTTGAACGCAAATGTAATTTGAATTTTATATCTATATGTTACAGATTCGTAGTTGTTACAGATTCCGCTGTTGCGAATCGTATCGGTGAGTCACAAATAATCTTTCATTTAATTCGAGGTAATGAATCTGTAAATTTTACAGATAGACGTGATTCATAGATTCATTGCCGCATTCACTAGAAATTAAATCTTCGTTTTTTTAACGCTGTGCGAAACAAATACATTGAGTCCGATATGATCGAACGTTCCTCGATACGTTAGATTAGGTGTTAATGAACTGCGAGCAGGATTACAGACTGTCGTCATTAAATGCACTAAAGCAGCAGATATATGATGACGGCGGAGATTAGCAGCGGAGATGTATTATATATGGATTAGATCTTCCGGAACAGAGCGCGCGGGCTGAAGATTAGGTCAGATTAGTTACCTTGCCCGGAAGAGGTAGGAGCACCGGATGTTCTTCGGATAGGAGGATGGGTAGCGCGGCGAATAAAATCGTCCATATTGAGGCGTCGATTGCGAACTGACAAACTCGTGGTCGCACATCGTGCCGGGCACCAGCAGACCGTCCATCTCGAATAAACCTGGAACAAAAAGAAGACGAGGATCACGTTACGACATCGTCGACTTTGTGGCATGTCTACTTGTCGACCATGTCCCGACTATCTATCCCTTTTTACTTGTCATTTTGTCAAAGTTATCTCTTTTGTCCCAGTTCTTTCTAGCTTGTTAGTTCATTCAATCTCTATCTGAAACTACTGTTGTAAAATCTGCATTTTACTTTCTCATAAAATGTTTGACAAGTTAAAAAATAGTGTTGAACCGTTTTTAAAAACAAAAATATGTAACATATAAATAACTCACAAAATACTTTTACACGTTAGTAAAAATTTTGTTTTGTAACTCATGCTTTTAATTATTTACAATTTTTCAATAGAAACTTTATATATTCTATTGTAGTAAAAAAAATCTTCCTAATTGATGATCTTATTACAATTTTTTTCTGACTGTTTCGAAAAAGCTATTGATAAATATCAGAACACGCGCAGGATAAATCCTATTTTGAAACTAGTCTTCCACGGAAATGGAAATCAAGATGAAATAAAATTAACGATTGCTAGCGTCCTTAGAGCGTGCAAATATACCTACTGAATCCGTTACGTATTGATTAACTAGTGGCGCGTCCCACACTCCTTTCAAAGGCGTCGCCATGGTAAAATTTAACTTATAACTGAGTATCGCTACTTGCTTACGATTAACAAAAATGTATAACGGTACAATGCACAAAATCGTAGTTAATTCTAATCTTTTTTTTTTTCATTTGCGCAACCACCCGTCTCGTTAGTTTTTGCAGAGTAGCTGCGCACGTTTCAATATAAAACCAAATAGCAACCATGTATAACGGATATTTGTGCAATATAACGATTTCGACGTAACGTTCGGGACTATGTACAAATATCTCGAATACGCGGGTTAGCGTGATAACGACATCGCCAATACCGACCGATTTTGTTAAAAGCACAGAGAATTATCACCGTTCATGTGCGTACAAAGAACTCGTACCGTTTTTAGATTCCACGATTTCTACGGGATATGTACGGGCAATTACATCCCTGGCTTGCGCAATTCAGAATACTCGAGATCGTTCTTTTGTGCTTAAAACAAAGACGAGAGGAAAAAGCGGTAGTTTCCGGAAGATAAAAAAAACGAACAGGAGGTTGGAGAAGGTCGTCGGCCGCATCTATCTGCTAGTAAAGAGATTTCGTAAAAGAAATGTCGAATTCCAGAGCGAATTAATCGTTAACTCGCCCATCGACATAGTCCTATTGTAAGTAATGTGAATAACAGTCAAGAAGGTCCAATATACGTTTGCATTCTACTCGATCAATTATCGTGATAAATGGAACCCCATCGGACTTTATGATATTCGAAGAGCATAATTAGATTATGAAATAATGATCTGTCGACCTTTTCGAATATGCTATCGGCATTGAGATCCGCGAATTAATATAGTATATAAAATGGAGAGTAAAATTCATAGATATATGGAAGTAATTTTGTGACAATGAAACTCACAGACATTGTATTTCAATGTACTTCGTATTATTTCTTCTACCGCTAGTTCTCTAATTTTACAATATACGTTTGCTATGTTTGCATTATAATCGATCGACAGATCATTATTTCATGATCTAATTATGCTCCATAATATCATAAAGTCCGACGATGTTCCATTTATCACAATAATTGATCGAGTATAATGCAAAATAATTATATACAGGGAAAGAAATACTTGTTGTTAGAAATCATGGAGGATTAAATTGAATGAATTTTTAGTTTAATTGTAATTAGCAGAATGCTTTTTGCATAAAACAAAATAGGTAAAATTAATCATTAATGTGGATTCCCCGGGAAAAGCAATTTTTATTGCATCATACTATCGTTCCAAGTGCACGGTAAAACGTACACGCATAAGACATAAGAACCGCAATTTCATCTGCCGTGCAACATTAATGAGATAATTTCGAAATGTATAATATATAAGATATATAAAATGTAGATCTACTTACATCATTCCTGTTATAAGTGATTTAAATTATCGAGCAAGACTTTATCCTTTCAATTTTAGGTTTCAGACATCAAACAAAATTATTATTCTGTTTCAAACTTTAATATAAAAAGACATAATCGAATAAAAAATTTTAATTGCACAAATAATATTTCTACTCGATATTCATTAATACATTTCATCGTGTCTGTGCAGATAATAGTTTTATAATATCTGTTCTTTCAACAATGATAAATCTAAAAGAAATACAAAACTTTACTTTCTATGGAAAAATAGTGCTCTTTTTTCGTTGTAAATTAGAAGCTTTGATTAATTTCATTCAGCTTTTAAATATACAATACTTTTCTTTCCACGTTCCCGTTATCCTTCTTCTCAGGGTTTAAACGAACTATTTGAAGTTTAGTGTCACTGACACAATACATGTATTCTAAGATATAACTATATGATCGATTTTACACACACATTCATACGTATATGGTATATCTCGTGGGGAATCGTACATGTACCGGACGCTGGATATCGTCTTGATATCCGATGTCACGTTGCGATTTGCGAGACAAGTGTGGTTTATATGAAATAATAGGGAATAAAGATCAATAAAGAAAGTTAAATTCCTTCGATTTTTCATAAATAATAAGACTAAAAATTAATAAGTGACAAACAATCAAAATACTCATGAAAAATATGTAGTTTTCGTGTATTTGTTTTTATTTTTAAGTTGCATTTATGTTTTTCCGATTGGACAATCATACCAATTTCGTTTCACTTTTAAATTTGTTCCAATCTTCAGTAAAGCTCTTTTTATAAACCGAATTCATAAATGGTGTAGTGCACAACGTTCTTCACGAAAATTGTATAGCACACTTAATGACGTCGGTTTTCGCTTACAATGTCACGTTGCAGATTGCAAGAACGTTCTGTCTTGTTACGATAGAAAGCGGAGTATTAGAGGTGCAAGAAAAGCAAAACATTATTATTAAAATAATAGATTTTGATATACTTTTAACATTGAATAATTCTATTTCCAATAATATTTACAAAACGAAAGCATATAATATAACGAAAAAATTTCAATTGCATTTTATGTAAATTATATGTTATTTTTATATTTCTTTTGATCAATGAAAGCAAACGCTTATTTTGTCAGTATTATATTTGCACTATTGTAACGTTAATCTATCGAAAGACGAATAAGATATCTGTCATATGTGGTTGAAATTAACGACGTGATTTCCCGATATACACATGTGTTTAATGCGCGCTGTACTCTCGACACTGATTTATTTCAAATTTTTGCGTTATCGGGAAAAGCCGTGCATACGTTTGAATTATGAAACAGCTCCATCGGGATACCAGTCCCAATTACGAGTCTAGTGGCAAGTCAAAACTCTCTCAAAGTCATATCTCACGTTGGCCTGGAATTACGATCACGTAGTTTTAAAATGGTGCACACAGTATGTTTAATTTTCCCATGTTTTTTTCTATTATTGCATTTTTTATGTGTTACAAATTAATGTTCTTCGCCAAATAAAATACCGACATTAATACTTTTTCACTATAATTATGAGATTTATTTTTTTTCTATATTTTTCGTAATTGTGATTCATCGAGCTTTTTTTATGCAACCACATATAATCTACATTAAAACGTTTTCTCTAATTAATAAAGCTCGTGCAAGAATGATAAATTAAAATCCCTACGGAAGTATAGGTATGTCGATGTTGGCATCGTCGATTTCCAATTTCCATAGAGCGCACTTTTATTTCCCACGCGTGCACACGCTAAGCTTCCGAGGGTGAAACCGCGTATACCGACAGATCTTATCTGAATATTTTATAGACCAGCCCGCGCCGGAGGTGACAAGCATAGCCCGGTGCTGATGCATAAAATTTCACATCCTCGGTCATTCGCAGGTAGAACGGAAATAAAAAAAACAGAAGCATATTCTCTAGGTGACATTACGTCTCAAAGTTTCGTTCGGAGGTATCTCGCTTGAATAACGCTGAAATTTAAGTCAACATTTTGAAGTTTTCAATGCATTTTGGTCAATAAGATGCACTATTCGTTGTGGCTGTGCGACAATTTTACATAATCTTCAATATCTTCATATTTATTTCAATAATGCAATATTAACACATGTAAAAGCTACCGTAAAACACTGACTTAAAATGATTTAGATAACGTGAAACCAACGTATTATATAATTTTATAAGTTACATAAATTAATTTTATAAATCAATTTTATTTATCAATTTATCAATTTTATAAATAATAGTAGTTGCAATAAATTTAACAATAACATCGTATTTAATATTTTAATAGGAAATTATGTAATTAATAATCCTATAATATATTCTGTAAAAAATTATGAATGACCTCTCTAAAAGTGAATCAGTGTATTAGTATTACTACCTTACTGACTTCAATGCTACACTTATAACTGACGTAATCATCAGCGAATGTTTTTCAATAATAATACACTGATTCACTTTTAGAGGTTATGATTTTCTGCAGATTTAATCTGTAGAAATCATAATTTTTAATAAAAATGAATCAGTGTATTATTACTGAAAAACAGTAAATATTCGCTGATATATAATCACATATAAGTATAGCACTGAAGTCAGTAATAATATACTGATTTATTTTTAGAGAGAGAAGGAAGTTCGTAGATTCAATCTTGCCACTTCAAGAGATTTAAGTTTTTCATAAATGAAAAAATATGGAGAGACAGAGAGAGACTGAGTGTAGTATTCTATTGACTGTCGAGTACAAAAGGGGATCAATAGCTTGCGTACATTTTCACTATAGCGCACTGGAAATCGTGTACGGCATTTTACATTAGCGTCTTACAGCTACTCTCATCTCGTCGTAATTCTCTTTGACCTCGTCTTTACGTACCGACTTCTTGATTTCTTTATAACCACGTGAAATTTTTCGCAAGCGTAAAGTCATGCGCGCGAACGTAGATATAAGTATATAAAGTATACATAAACTAAACTGGGAAAACATGAG